CTAAATTAAAAATTACATTTATATCAACAGAAGAGGAGCTAAAAGCTGAATTAAAAATTACATTTATTTCAACAGAAGAGGAGCTAAAAGCTAAATTAAGCCACATATAAATGGAACGATGTTAAAAAAACAAACAAAAAGAAACCCCTCTATAAAAACCGTATTACGTAACGGAAGCGCTCACATTAGTTTATTCTTATATTAACCCCCCCCCCCCCCCCCCCGAAAGCTAAATGTTAGCCGTGCAGCTTAACACACCCACCATGAATTAGCCTTTAGCCGGTGCTAGCTGCGGACACTACCAGCCGCGCTGATAGAGAAGAAATGGATTTTATTTTGGACAGATCAGCTCATTTCGAAGCAGAGCAGCTAAACACGCTGCTCAGCTGAAAAAGCATCAGTTCTCTTTAGCTATCTATGTTTAGCTTTAGCCGCCCCGTGGTGCAATGAAAGCGACACATTTAGCTCATGCTCACTCGAGCTAACGCTAGCTTCAGCCTGCTAGCCGGCTGCTAATTGTTTTCCTCGCTGCCATGGTGCAGCCGAGAAGCAAAGCGCCATATTATGCAGGGGGGGGTCAGTCGACATTAAAAATAAAACCATGCTAACCTAGCCTAGCCTAGCCGGGGGGCTGAAAAAAGACCCGCTGCGGATTGATACGAGGCGAGCAGTGAGTGATGTGACAACTGCGGCCACGTTGTGAATTGGTAATTTAATAAACGTTTGTTTGTTGTCGTCGTTATTCGGGCGGGAGGGGAGGGGGGGTAATTATGTGCAGCGTTAATCTCAACATGGAGAAACAATGAGCACACGATGCTAGTCCGGTTTATTCTCAGATCCTTGGCCGTCAATCAATCACGCAGGGACAGCTGCCGTCTCCCTCCGCGCTAACGCTGCTGCTGTCGGGCCTACTCTGGAGCTCTCGCCCTTCGTTTTCCACAATCCTTCTCTGCCCCCCAAAAGCCGACATATTTCCACCCCCCCTCCTCTTCCTCTTCTATTAAGATTTTTTTTATTCTTCCAGAAGCGCTGCCGCTTCTGTTCTCCTCCCTAAAAAAACACCCTCCGCTGCCTTGTCTAGGTCCGCGCTCCTCGCCCCGGGGCATTTTAGCGTGCGGCCCAGATTGTTTGATTGATAGGGAACGGCAAAAGAGGGATTTTGAGTGACAGCTTACCTGAGTGCCAATCTTCGTCACACTGACAAGCGGCTGCAGCAATCGGGACCCGCAGTTGTCGCGCTGCGTCATCACGCAGGAGCACGCAGCGGCGCTCGCCTCATGTTTATGCATGAAGGGGGCGGAGCCATGACGTCCATCTGCACCCTGCTGGGAGTTTATTTCCCTTTTGTCCCTTTTCTCACATCGTTCAGGCAAACCACAACAAACCAACAGATAATCCTATCCTGGTTGTTTATTAAAGTAACAGTTTGTTTAGGATATTTAAACAGAAGCACACAGGCTGAAAAACAAATACAGAGCCAAACTACAATTTTACCTTGTGTTCTTTAATCATGTCACATTTTGACAACAACGTTGCTGCAGCCCTGGTACGTTCAGGAGCATATATATATATATATAACATATTTTTAATTCTTAAAGCACAATTTGCAGATGGTTCTGCTTTTCTAGTGCAGAGGCGAGAGTCTGCCAGAGGAGGGCTGAGGGAGGCGATACTTGGCCATGTCTACATCCAGATCTGCGAAGGTGTAGGTGGTGTAGCTGTGGTGCTGGTTGTTCTTATAGGTGCTGTTATCAAACGGCTCCTCAGGCTCCAGAGGTGCTGCTGCTGCTGCTGCTGCTGCTGCTGCTGCTGCTGCTGCTGCAGGTTCTGAACAAGAAAAAAAACCTAGGTGAGGAATATGTTCCAGCTCTTCATGCATTCCAACAGAATTAAAGCAGGTTAGTCAGCTCAACGTAAGGTCTCAGCTGTTAGTGATGCCTGGTGAATCAAAGGCCCCGTTCAGAGCCGGCGTTAAAGATCCTTCTTTGACAGCTCTGAATGAGAGCGTTCACACCTGGCAGCAAACAAAAACAGGACCAACAAGGCCTGCTAATGTGTCTGTAAAAATTATAGCACTATGTTATTATTTTTAACTCACATGGCTCGGAGCCATTTTTTTTCTTAATGGGTTTAACAGAAGCAATGTGGGCGAAACGAAGAAGCATTAAATAATAAAGTGACTCCTGTGTCAGAGCAAAGATTTTAAAAGTGTATGGTGCGCTGACGGTTGTTGCTGTGTTCGATTAGGTGAACATAACGCTGCTCGGACTGGTGAACTGGGACTCACTGCACATCACAGCTTAGGCCTTGTCCACATGGTGGATGAATGGTGCTCTTCCATTGATCTTTTGTTCACACGAGATTCTTGTAACATCTGCAACTGCAATGTTTACAACAGATATAAAAATATATATTTTATATATATATATATATATATATATATATATATATATATATATATATATATATATATATATAACAGATATTATCTACATGCAAAAAAAGAGTACTGTAGTAATTATGGCCCGTATGTGGTGCTGTAACAAGGGGAACTAACGTTATTAAAGTCTATACACAAGGACGACAAAGACGAGAGGAAGAAGAACCCTTTTTATGGACAGAAGAAGACAAAAGTCTCTTTTTTAATAACAAAACAAAAAGAAAAGGGTAATGTCCACTGGGAGTCCTCTGGGTCCAAATACATGGACAAAATGGACACTTCACAGTGCTGACTGAGGGTCGTCTTGGTCCAGATGCGTGGACAAAGACTTTCCCCCTTTCAAGCCCAGTATACGAAGTAGGAAGACTTTTTCTAACATTGTTCAAAACATATCAGGCTAAATTATTTAAATACAAGTGTTGTCTTTTAAAACTATTCTAAACCAAGTTTTAGACTGTATACTGGAAATACACCGAATACACAAATACATCCTATACACTGGATGTATAGGATGTATACTGGACGTATAGGACTGTATACTGGACGTATAGGACTGTATACTGGATGTATAGGACTGTATACTGGACATATAGGACTGTATACTAGAAATATAGGACTGTATACTGGATACATAGGACTGTAAACTGGACGTATAGGACTGTATACTGGATGTATAGTACTGTATACAGGATGTATAGGACTGTATACAGGATGTATAGGACTGTATACAGGATGTAAAGGACTGTATACTGGATGTATAGGACTGTATACTGGATGTATAGGACTGTATACTGGA